ATATAGTAAATTCAGTAAATGCGGTAATTTACTGAATTTACTATATTTAGTAAATTTACTAAGTTTACTAAATATTCTATGTTTGCTAAATTGAAAAAAAAATCACAAAATTTTCTAAGTTTACTGAGTTTTGAAAATCTACTATATTTAAAAACTGCAAAATTTACAAAATTTACTTAATTCACAAAATTTACAAAATTTACAAAAAATCTAAACAAACTTTCACAAAATTTACAGGATTTTCAAAATATACTTGTGTTACAAAATTTACAAAATTATCAAAATTTACTAGATTTATAAAATAAACACAAAATCTATATATACTACATTTACAAAATTCACAAAATTCACAAAATTTACAAAATTTACAAAATATGCTTATGTTTCAAAATTTACAAAATTATCAATTTTGAAAATTATACAAAATTAACATGATTTACTAAAGTTACTTAAAGTACAGTTAATTATTAAATTTAACTTAATTGAAACTGTATTTTCAAACTTAGGTTACGATAAAGGTTTGTTAAATCAAAGATGTTCAAACGACTGTAAAATTTACAAAATTTACAAACTTACAAAATTTATAAAATTTTTAAAATTTACAAAATTTATTAAATTTAAAGCTACTGAATTTACTAATACACTGGAGTCAATTTTTACGCGGGTGATACGTCCCGCGTAAAAAAAAACCACGTAAAAAAAACGCGTAAATTCCGAAATCCGCGTGAAAAAAGACCGTGTAAAAAAAACCGCGTAAAAAGCGACTCTAGTGTACTCTATTTTTACTAAATATACACTGAATTTTCAACATTCGGTTTCTAGAAAGTTTAGTTAAATAAAAGATGTTCAAAAGACTTTAAAATTTACAAAATTTTCTTAAATCATAAAATTTACAAAATTTGCAAAGCTAACAAAGTTTACGAAGCTTACAAAATTTACTAACTTTACGAAATTCACAAAATGTACAAAATGTAAAAAATTTACTAAAGCTCTTAACAATTTACAAAATTTGCAAAATTTCTAAATTATTTAAATATACTAAATTGATTAAATTTACAAAATTTACAAAATTTCAATATTTCTTAAATTTTCTAAATAACTAGATTTACAAAATTTACAAATTTACAAAATTTACAAATTTACAAAATTTTAAAAAAATGGTAAATTTACTAAATTTACTAGATATATTAACTTTACTAAAGGTACTGAATTTAATAAATTTAAATTTTTACTCAATAGACACTGAATATTCAACGTTCGGATTCGAGAAAGTTTAATCAAATAAAAGAGGTTCAAAAGATTTTAAAATTAACAAAATTTTCTTATATTATAAAATTTACGAAATTTGCTAAGCTAACAAATTTTACGAAGCTTACAAAATATACAAAATATACCAAATTTACAAAATTCACAAAATTTACTCAGACTAAACAATTTACAAAATTTGCAAAGTTTCTAAATTAACTAAATATACTAAATTTATTAAATTTACAAAATTACTTAATTGACTTAATTTACCGAATTGACTAAATTAACTAAATTTACAAAATTTTCAATATTTTCCGAATTTTCAATATTTCCTAAATTTACAAAATTTTCTAAATTTACAAAAATTACAAAATTTACAAAAATTACAAAATTTTCTATTTTTACTAAATTTACAAAATTTTCAATGTTTATTAAATTTTAAAAATTTACTATATTTAAAAACTCTACAAAATTTACAAAATTAACAAAAAATCTATATATACTATATTTACAAAATTTACTGAATTTACAGAATTTACAGAATTTAAATATTTATTAGATTTACAAAATTAACAAAAAATCTTAATTTACTACATTTACAAAATTTACAAAAGTTACAGAATTTACAAAATTATCTTAATTTAAAAAATACAAAATTTATAAAGTTTACAAAATTTATAAAATTTACAAAATTTATAATATCTACAAAATTTGCAAATTATACAAAATTAACATATAATATAACTAAATTGAATCTGAATTTTCAAAATTAGGGTACGATAAAGGTTATTTAAATGAAAGAAGTTCAAACAACTTAAAAATTTACAAAATATGCATAATTTACGTAATTTACAAAATTAGAAAAAATTAATAAATTTTCAAAATATAAAAAAATTACTAAAGTTCAGGGTGTCCATCCAACCGGGAAAACCGGGAAATCCGAGAAGAAAACGGGAATTAGCATTTTCCAGGAAAAAATCGAGGAAAATGCGGGAAAACCCAAATCGCACCGGGAAAGGCCATATTTACTCAACCCAAGTGACAATCTTGGTCTTTAAGAATCATATTATGTCTTTCACTGTGGCAAAATGACATAAACGCTATTTATTTCTTTCACAGTGCACGAGGCAAACGGCGATTTTGCTGTTATTCCTACTGCGATAGCTTATAGAATAAATTTTTAGAATTTATTTTGGCGTGGCTGTAATAAAAAAAAAAGATCTGAAGTACAGGTAGTTTTGAAAACCTAATAAACAAAACCAATAATATTACTTATGGGGCTTCACAAAAGTTTACCTATTCTATCATTAAGACGAATAATCGTGCTGAGTCTTCAGAACTTCAATATTAGATATCCGGATAATTTGGATAATCCAACAATGTTATTTTTAAACAGAATTAAAAAATATTAAATGATGTTGGTAGAAGTACAAAATGCTCTAAAATTCTGAGTCGGAACAGTCGAACAAGATTGTGATTATCCTGTATAATGTTTCCAGGACAATTTGGAGAATGATACATGTTTTGGTTACACATCTTTGTATCCCACACAATGTTGTTTGACTTATAGAACTTCAAGATCTAAACTCCAGGAAGATTTGAAGAACTTTTAATACTGCGTTTCTCCTGCTCAGGTCTCTTGTATTGATGCTTTTTTTTCGACATACCAAAACAAGATTTCTAGCTGTGAGACTCTTTGATTTTATACGAATTCATGATTCCATGAGATTTTGGAGATTTGTCTACAAAGTAGACGTTTTGGTTATTTGTGAACGCCTTTTTTGTTTAAGGCAGGAGTGATGTTTGAGTTGTGTTTATTATTAAATACCCGGGAAAAACCGGGAATTGATAAATTTGATTTGCATGGACACCCTGAAAGTTACTAAATTAACTAAAATTTTATAATTTTACATAATTTATTTATTATACAAAATCTACAAAATTTACTAAATCTACGAAGTTTATTAAATATACTAAATTTAAAAAAAAAACAATACCAAATTCATTAAATTTTTTAATTTTACTAAATTGTCTAATTCACTAGATTTAATTAAGTTATTAGATTCACAGAAAAAAAAATTGCGATAATTCTCCCACGAAACTCTTCAGTTTGATCATTTGGGCAATAGCGAAACCGCACATAGCGCCAAATTCAATTGCGCAAACACATTCCGCAGTTGTTTGAAGGCCCCCATACCCCTTGCTGAACCCGCGGTCACCGCAGGGTAGATTAATTTTCCATTTCACGGGCTGTGACCAATGGACAATGATGGCAAAGCTCGTGGCGGTAATAAACGCAATTGCACTCACCGCTCCCCATTGTTTCCGAAGCGGGATTTGAGACCACCGCATGGCGTCGTCGTCGTCATCGTTCGTCCGCGGTTGACACCAGAGACCCGGAACGAACCGTCGCCGTCGAACTAACTGCCAGAAATGGAACAAACAATGGGACAGGTTTCGCTTTTCGTGCTTCTACTTGCTTGCTTGCTTGCTTGCTCTTGCATATGCAATATCGACATACAATTCGATAATGGTTGCCTAATGAAATAATCATAACGACAATTAGCCATCCCCTTCGTCCGCCGTTCCCGCTCTCTTCAACCTCATGCACCGCCTACTCTAGCTAGGCACAACGTGTTGCAGGGAAGAGTGTAGAGTAGTAGGCTAGGCGCAGCAGACTGCACCAGAGAAACATAGGACGGAAGTTTGTCTGACGACAATTCAATTTGGGGTTGCCCAAATAAGCAAATATTTGCATAATTGTATTGATTTCCTGTCCGTCCTATCGGTCGTCCAGAACTCGTTCGCTGAGTTGTTCGTTCGTACGTTCGTTTCGCGCCGGATCGAATTTGTGGACATCGGTTTTGCATTACGAATTTATTTGGTCGTCCTTTTTTTCCGTACAAAACCCCCACCCCTATATGTACATATGCATCGGGTCTATTGGTTCCAAAATTCCCGCTCTATGGAGTTGTCATGCATTTGCAAAGAGTGCGCAAACTGGGAAGCAATACAGCAGTAGGCAGTTCTCTATTTCGAAATCAATTTATGCATAATGGACTCGCGTTGGCATGAAATAATTAAAATTCCTGGCCAATTTATTCGCTCGCACATCGATTATTCATCGGCCGCACTTGAAAAGGCCGTGGGGGCAAGCGGAGGAGGTAGATTTTAATTTGATTTGCAAAATAACTCAACTCGGCGCATTCGAGGGGAGGGGGGGGGGACTCGAAACTGGATTATGTTGTTGTGTGGGTGATTAAATTAAATGATAATTTTGTGAACGGTTTTTTGCGCCTATAGCCTTTGCAACGCGATGCTAATGAGCATTTAATTAAGTGCGCGCTTATGGTGGTTGTTTTGTAGGTGGGGACGAAACTGTTAATTTAAGGTGAGTTTCAATTGCGGATGTCGCCGGGTGATCCGTGTATCATGCGACGTGCTAATCAATAGTATATTCATTAATCTAACAACCAATGCAGATGTAGGCCGCGGTGCGACAGTCCTCTCCACCCAGGCAGCTCCGCACGCTTCTGATTTATGTTTTAATAAATCGGTTAAGCGGTGGTGGCGTCGCCGCTGCGCTGCTAAACGCCCTTGCTACGACAGGTTTTGCCCGACTGTCAATCGCGCCTAACTAATGGCACCACTTAGCATCGTAATGGGCACTAATTCAATAGCACCTCAATTAGCATAAACAAGCTCATTGACAATGTTTTTTCTGCTCTGCTCTCCTTCCTTCTTTCAAACAGGTCTCAAATGGTCCGATAGGTACCCACCTAACACCGATCGGCGGCCATCCTGCTGCTGTGGCGTCGCCTCAGTCGCAGCAACCCGGGGTGGCTTCACCCCAGCAACCACAGCCTCCTGCGTCACCACAGACGGCCGCCGGCCTGAGCAGTAAACCGCTGCTCCCGACGGCGTCGGCCAAGATTCCGGCGACGTTAAGTACAACGACTGCAACGACGACGGTAACGACAGCAATATCATCATCCCAGCCAGGGAAGCAAGGAGGATCTCCTCAGTCACCGCTGCAGCAACAGCCGATCGGATCGATACCCGGATCACCGGCAATGCAGCAGCAACCGCACACGCCGCAATCTCAGCCGCCGCCTTCGCCGCAACAAACATCAATGCAGCAGCACAATAGCAACAGTAACAGTAGTAGTAGTAATAGTGGCCCCGTGAAGCCTTCGTCGGTTCCGAGTTTTATCGGAGCTGGGTCCTCCTTCGCGGCCGTTGCCACAACGGCGGCTTCGTTACCAAATGGACTGCCCCCGCCAACTATACCAGCCAATGGTGGCCAGCCGCCGCACACCAACTCTAGCAGTAACAGTGCAGCGCCATCTTCACTGCCAGTGAACGTACCACACACGCCACCGGCAGCTACGCCTGCAAGCGGGCAAAGTCCAGCCATCCATCCTTCGGTGGAAAGCTCACTGGCTGCATCGACAAGTGGGCTTCGAACGCACAGTCCAGCCGTGGCCACCAGTGCTGCCCTCTCGGCAGCCGTGACGCCAACTGGTCTTTTCAACGGATCTCATGCCACCCATCCGGGAATCCCACATTCGGCCGCCATGATGATACCGAATGGTCTCGGTAGCATACCACCGCACTATCGAGCGGCGTACCAGGGATACCCTCTGTACTCTCCGTACGGTAGCTTTAACCACAATCCGTATCTGTCGCCATCGGTGGCGGCACCGAATCTATCTCCTCGAATGCATCCAGGCGCTCCTCCAGGTCTCGGCGTCATACCCCCCTCGATGCTCGGTCTCGGCCTAATGGATTCACGATTGCAGCATCCGATGGTAGGAAACAATGGAAGTCCTTCGCATCTTCGGGATCGGGACGTCTCTCCGATGGGTCAACCGCCATCGAAAACCGTGCGTCCCATCACCCCGAACGCCAACAGCAATGGTAGCAATAGTAATTCTTCATCGGCGCCTTCGGCATTGGCGGCGGCACCCCCTCATTCCTCGAGTGGTCCCGTGCCGCCACCATCCTCACACATACCATCCCCACACGGTTTAAACTCGGGTGCTCCGCCACATGGTGCCACTCCTCCGTCATCACATCCATCCCTGAGGGATCAGCAGTCGTCGCAGCCACCTCAGATGACGCATCCAGGGCCACCATCACATCTCTTACCTCCTCATCATCCTGGAGCTGCAGCGGCGGCTTCCCAACAACAGCCGCCACCGCTCTCTTCTCATCCTCAACCACCGGCGCCGCATTTAGTAGGACCTTCCTCGCATCATCCGCTGGTGGGGCCACATCCTCCGGGAATGTCACACGGAGGCGGGCACCATATGTCGTCACACCTCCCGCCTACGAGCACCAGCAGTAGCAGTAGTAATAGCAATAGTACCCATCCGTCGCATCCGTCGTCGATTCCCGGTGGCGGCAGCTCGCGAACGCATTCTCCGAGGGGGCATAGTCCTAATAGGGAAAGAGATAGTTATAGGTAAGTTTTCGTAGATAGATGGCAGCACCTATCGCCAATTTACTAATCTTCGATTTTTCTTCTTCTTTCAGTAGTAACGTAAGTAGTTTATCCCGATCGACGCCGGGTTCGGCGCTACCCTACGGCAGCGGCGGCAGCAATGCGAGTAGCGCCAGTACCGGTGGTCCACCACCGGGTCCATCACCGACGCTTCCTTACAGTTCGGCTGGTCCACCTGCATTATCCTCTCCGGCAGCGATGTCCGTCTCGTCGGCGGCTTCGTTAGTCGTTTCTTCTAGTCTAACCTACCCTAAATCTTCGCTAACGGCCGTTACGACCAGTAGTAGCTCCAGTGTCAGCACAAGCTTACCACAGGGCGGCCCACCAGGATGGCCACCTTCGGCTGCGCCGGGAGCATCTTCCGCGGGTGCACCACTGTCCCATTCGCCAGCCGCAGCCGGTTCCATTGTAAATAACAGTTCTTCCTCCCTGTCACGACCAACTCCTCCCTCGCCTTCTGCCTCGTCCAGTGGACCAACGCCAAATCAACCGGTGTCGCTCTCCTCGGGACCCCCAACATCATTCCCAGCGCCACTGTTCGCAGCGCCGCTACCTCCACCGGTCGTATCGACGGCAAGCACACCCTCGCAATCCTCGGCACCGCATCCCTTCTCAGCAGAGTCGCTATTCTCCACGAAAGGTAAGTCCGTCGTTGCTCGCCCAGATAATACTCACCCCAATAAAGCTTCTTCCCATGCAGACCAAGACATGCTGCGGCGTGAGTTGGACAACCGGTTTCTGGACCGAAGCGGTCTCAGTGCTCCGCCCTACCTGCGACAGGAACTACATCACCATCAGCATCAGCATACGCATCTGCATCAGCACCAACACCAGCATCAGCATCAGCCAATCCTTCAGTCGGGCGGTTCTGGATCGCCTGCCCTCTTTCCACCGCCTCTCTTCAAGGACGTGCCGAAGATCGGTGCCGTCGATTCGCCCTTCTACCGGACGGGGCTCGGGATGCCCGCCTATCCGTACGGTCCCGGACTGCTACACCCCGGCCTAAGTGGACCAACCCAGTTCGTTCCGCCAAGCCATCTGCAATCGTTTGTGCCGAAGGTAAGTTCACTTCCCTTCCTTCAAACTTCACCTCATCTCATCCGCTGATCAAATCATTCACCTACACACACACACACACACACACACGCCACGCATTAGTGAGCAGTAGACCGTTTGTGTTCTGTTGTCCGTTACTGTGTCCAACTACTACTACTACTACCCCATATTCGTAAATGTTCCAATCACCACGCGCAGCAGCCAATCATAAAGCTTTGTTTTTCTTGTTTCTCGTTCTCGTGTTACTTTTTGGTTCGTAACCACTCATCGTCATCACCACCAATACTACTACTACTACTACTACCACGATCACTACTACGAAAACGAAACACCTCACAGCAACAGGCACCACCGGTTGATCCGACCAAAAAGGTAGGTCCCCATGTCCTTCGTACCTCCCAGGGTTGCTCATCGCGCTTTTTCATTCATTATGTGTTTGTTGGGTCCTAGTTAGGTTTAATGCATGTTCTGTGGTCACGATGGTTTCGCTACCGAGGTAAGAAGACACACATCATGCCGATAGCGCCCAACCCTATTAGAAATAAATTTGCCACCTGAGGCTCATCACACGCCCTGAATGCTTCCATCTTTCCCCATCAATTGCAGAAAACCGGCAAGTGGAACGCCATGCACGTGCGGATAGCGTGGGAAATCTACCACCACCAGGCGAAGCAGAACCCGGACAAGGCCGCCTCGATGAAAACGGCCACGGACATGCTACGGCCTCCGTCGCACATGTATCCTCCGTCGGCAGCGAGCCTTGTGCGGCCGCATGATCTTCCGTCGTCGGGTTACCCACCGTCGGGCCTACAGGGTCGACCCGGGCCCTACGAATCGGCACCGCTGCCACCGAGCTTCATCGGTTCGGCCGCTAGTCATTTAGGTAAGGTTTTCCCATCTGGCACGGTCTTCAGCAGTCACCATGTACTAAATGCTACATGTGTTTCAAAAGGTGTTTCCCCCTTCGGTCGATACGCTTCGCCGTACGGTGGCTCACCCTTCAGTGGGCTGTCACCGTTTTCGCGGGACATCCCGATTGGATCTCAAATGCCCGGTTCGTTACACGACCCGTGGAGAAGGTAAGAATTCCACACTTACAATTCGTTTTGGGCTTGTGTACTTAGTTTTCTTGTTTTTTTTTTTAATTTGCAGTGCAATACCACGTGGAGTGGCTGGGTACCCACAGGGGCCACCACCGGGAGCTGGCGGAGCGTGGCCACCAACGATTAAGCCGGATCCGGGCGTGGCAGCCGAAACGGCCCGCCGAGAGGCGGAAGAACGAGAACGGCAACGGGAACGGGATGAAAGAGAACGGGAACGGCAAAGGAGAGAACGGGAAGAACGGGAGAAACAGCGGGAACGGGAACGGGAACGGGAAGAAAAGCAACGCAAAGAGCAGCAAGAGCGAGAACGAGAACGGGAACGCGAGCGGGAACGGGAACGAAAGGAAAAGGAACGCCGGGAAATGGAACGACGCGAGATGGAACGGGAAAGGATGCTGCAGCAACAGCAACGGGAATCGAAAGCGGCTGCTGCAGCGGCTAGTGCGAATTCTATGGTGCGGGATCGTTCTCCACTGCGAAACGGAACGGATTTGGATGTCCGAATCAAGGAAGAACCTCAAGTGAACATGCGAAGCAAGGAGGAAGAGATGATGATGCGAAATCAAGCGGTAGCCGCAGCAGCAGCAGCCTCCGATCCACGCTATCATCCCTCGATGATGCCCCATCCGTACATGACCAGTCGACATCCGGCGCACATGATGTCTGGTGCGCATCTTTCCCGATCGATGTTACCGCCTTCGATGGGTCTACCGTCACACTTTCCACCTCCAGGCCCGTGGGGACCGGATCCCTTCCGAGATTATCGGCTCGAATCCCTGCATCAACAGCTTCGTTACAATCCCGTGATGGACCTGTACCGAGCAGAGGAAGCCAAGGCCTCGCTTATGTACGCAGCCCAATCGGCTGCGCACTACCGAAGCAAAGAACCAAGTCCTGTGCCACCACCTCAATCGCACCACCGGATGCAGCCGGGACCTCAAGGACCCGGAGGACCCCAGGGGGGCCCACCAGGCAGTCTCAAACCTCCCTCCTCCCATCCGCTAGGTCCACCGACGAACGGCCCTGGGCCGGGAGGGCTACAAGGTGGTCCCGGTGGACCCCCACCCGGTGCACAGGGTGGCCCAGGAATGCCCGGCTCCGGACCCCTACCCGGGTCGGTCGATATGCACAAAAAGGAAGACTCCTGCCAATCGCGATGATAGTCATCATCATCAGCGTCCACATCATTAATCGTTATCGATGACGACGATTGAAGGAGCTGCAACCCACAAACACACACACACAAACAAACCACAGCAGAACGAATCAAAATCGTGTGAGCCGGAGTGTGCCGGAAATGGTGAAAGAGCATGTGATGCAAAATGAAGGAGAAACAGTAGGATTGGAGGAGGAGACGGACGGACGGTCGGTCGGAGGAATAAACAACAAATGGTGATATTTTTAAATTGTAATTAGGAGGTTAAACACGTTTAAATCGAATGGCGAAAAAACCGGTGCGAATATTTGCATGCCTCTCTGTGTGCGTGTAGGATGATGATCCTTCGTCGCAGAGAGACGGAAATTATTAGTGAGATATTTAATATATACATACACAAACAGACACACACACACACACACACGCGCGCATATATTGACAGCAAAAAAGAAAAAGAAAAGAACAGAAACATAGAAATTGTGCATTTTTTTCCAATTTAATGGAAAGCAGCGAAAGTGTTGTAATACAGTAGTGTTTTTTTCGCTCTATAGTTGTTAAGCACCACCAACAAACAAGTGTGTGTGTGTGTGAAACTGATGTTTTGCGCAAAATGGTAACAACAACAAACTAAGAACAACAACCACAACAACAACAATTGACACACACACACACACAGGCATACACGCATCTGTACTATATTGTATTGTAAATGTTAAGTAGTGATATTTGTATAAACAAAAACAAAACTAAAAAAAAGAAGATGGGGACGATGATGGGGAAGAGAAACCGGAGAAATGTGTGACAAAGAGAAAGCTAATTTATTTTTAAAACTAAAAAGGAAAATGGGGAGAGAGGAACAAAAGGAGAAAAGTTTACGGTATTTTCTTTTCACAGTGTAGGGAAGCGACGGTCGCCACCACCAGTCAAAAAAGTAAAGAGAGGAAAAGGGGAATCGTGGTTTTTTTTACGGTCGATTTGTGTAAATAGTAGTTTTTTTATGGAAAACCATGAGTGGATGAAGATTCGATTGGTTGGTTATGTTAAAAGTGCAAAATTTTATTTTTCATTCGATAATGGGATCAATGAGCCCGTTCGGGGTTTTAATTTTGACCGAGATTTCGACTTAGTATTATTTTTAAATAATTTCGCCTGTGCTTGAAAGAATGTTTGGATGATTTTAGGACAACAAGTAGTCGGCAACGTGATTGTTTTTAACGAGTGTACAATGCCATCTGTGCGGTTAACGGTAGAATTTTTTTACAAAGGAGATTTTTACAAGGCAAATGTACAACATAAATAATTCAAAATAATGATATGTTCCATCTCCGATTGGCTCTCATTTAGCGCAGATTGGCAATTATAACAAATGGAAAAGTTTGCTTAATTTAATTGATGTTGATGTTTATGTTAGGGAAGTTTATTTGGTACTTGAAATTGATGTCCGTGTTAGGGAAAGTACATTGGAGTTAATTACGAAATTCTTCTAACAAATTTAAATGTTCAAAACTTGATAGTATTTCAAATTCGTCTGAAGTTTTCGATACAATTTATACGTAAAAATTCTTGGGAGATTCACCAGGGATTTCAGTCGAACAATTCGATGGAAGTCTCACGCTTTGTTTTCACTAAACCTTGATCAAGAAACTCTTAATGAAGACCAAAAAAAGGGACCTTTTCGAAGTGATACAGGTCAAGCTCGGTGTCAGGTAGGGGTCAAAAGGCATATATCGACGAGACGAAAAGGAGAAAAGAGTTGGAGAAATTGTTCTACCTGGATAAGCGTGAAAGGTGGAACGCCGTCTCAACAGGTTAAGTTCAGAAGGACCATCGGGAAACTGCCAGGAGGAGGGTCCTTGATATCAGACCATCGACCAGAAATAATGAAACTAAGTTAACCTTGCATTGAACTTAATAAAATCAGGTCTATTCTGCGCCTGAGTGGTTCATTGGTTAGATTCCCAAAATACGCGTATCTCCAAAAAGTTCCAACTGGGCGTTCAAAAAGGTCCCAATGTATCGCAAGTAGTTATTTAGAAAGCTAGATTGAAAAGGAATCAATGGATATGAGCTTAGAGAATCCCTAAATATAGTGTTAAGCAACATTTTAAATTTTAGTCTGTACGCTTTCGGGCTTCTCGTGTAAATTTTTTGGACTTGTTTCACAAGAACTTTGGACTGGCACTGTCATTTAAACTTTTTGCAGAGCAACGACTAGAGTCCTCCGACCTTGTCTAACAAGAGATTTGACAAGGCCTCTGATCTGGTCATTAAGGTCCCTTGTATCATAAGGCTTCTGAACTAGATATCCATGAGAGCTTAAGGCCTTTTAAGTAGACCCACGGCCACGAGATCTTTAAACTTGTCTCAGAAGCCCTTTAAACTTGTCCAGAGGTTTGTCTCGAAATGTTCTAAATGTAAAGCTTGGAAATGGTCACGAAATAGATTATTAAAGGGCCTCTGGGTAGAAGCTACAATACTCGCTTAATACGAAATTAAGGGCTGCCTATAAAAGTCCCATTAGGGCTCAGGACGTGCCCCACAAGATGCGTTCCACAATTCCGCAGGAATTGTCCAAAAAATCATCAAGATTCGTCCTTCTGAAGCAGTTCTGTTAGGTCCCAGAACTTATCCCACGAGACTCTGCCTTAAAGCGTTCTCACATCACTAATCCATTAAGGTATTTTAACTTCTCTCATAACTAGCAGAACAAGTCTTTCAATTTTTTTTCCTATAAGCCATCAAGAATTTATTCTACGATTTCTATGGACTTGTCTTACATAACATCTGGATTCGGTCCATAAGGTCTTCGAACATGCATTTGTTTCAAAAGGCCTCTGTAATTGCCTCATAAAGTATTCGGACTGATCCCTTAAGATGCCTGGATATGTCTCACATATTCACCCTGCGAAATATTGTAGCTAGTCTTGCACGAAATCATCAGTCCCTAAATCCTCTGGAGTTTGTTTTACAAGACCTCGGAACTAGCTCTATGAGGCATTTGGACTTATTCCATAGAGCATCTGTACTGGACTTGTCTTTAAGACCTCTGGGGTTGTCTCATAAGCCAAATCTATTAAGGACTCTGAATTTCTTTCATAAGGTCTCGGCATAAGCAGAACAAGTCTTTCAAATTTTTCCTCTGAATTTATTCCACAGCCACTCTGGACTTGTCTTACATAACATCTGGACTTGCACCATTATGTCATCGAGCGTCACTCTTATTATAAGAGCTAGTCATGAGACTATTCCAAAGAGGTATGGACTAGTTTCATAAGAAAGGTTAAGACGTCATATAAGAGTCTTATATGACGTCTTAACCTTTTTTATGAAACTAGTCCATACCTCTTTGGAATAGTCTCATGACTAGCTTTTTGAATTTGTTCCTTAAGATTTCTGGACTTGTCTTACAGGACGTCTGGATTTTCTTCCCTAAGAGGGTCTTTTAAGTTTGTTTCATAAGGCATGCCGATTTGTCCTACAAGGCCTCTGAACTCTTTAGTTCTATAATGGCTTTGACTTATCTAACAGGGCTTTAGGCCCTTGAATTTTTTTTCTAGAAGACATATATGCTTGTCGTTTAAAACCACAGGATGTGTCCCACGAGGACCTTGCACTTGCCTTCCAAGCAGGATGCTGAACTACATACATTTGTTGCACATGAAGAGTTCCCATAATTGGACTTGGAAAGCATGGTCCATTAAGAGCATCTTCACCGCTGTTCTCATTCTCATTTCTAAAATGACTCCCCGAATTGGTTTCTATTTTAGTTTAGACACCTGACAAAACCCAGCTGCCCATCGCTGGGTGGCTTTGGAATGCTCTGAGCCCTCTAAATGAGTCTTGTACTGCCTCTTTACTAGCCCGAACAGATAAAGGTTCGTGAAGTAGCTTAACAAGGTTTCAACATTGCTCCTTAAGGCCTCTGAACTAGTCTCATTTGTTCCACAAGTATTCTAGAGGCGTCCAATTTAGCCCAAAAAGCATTTGAACTTGCTCCACAATACCTCTGGAGTGGTGTGGTTTCAAAAGCACCATTAAGAGTAACTTATCTCATAAGGCCTCTCACTGGGTCTCAAGTCCTTTAGGCGTGTTCTACAAAGCCGATGATTTTTGTTCCATGAGTTTTTCGCGATTTATTCACAAGATCTCTGGACCGGACTTGTCTCATAAGATCTCAGGATTGACGCCATAAAGTCTATTGAATTATCTCCAATGGGCTCGGAAGTAGCCAAACGTGATTTTTACGTTAGTTCACGTGTTCACAAGGTCTATGGATGTATTCAACGAGTCTTCTCAACGTGTAGGACTACTGGACTTGTCCCCACAAGGCCATTAGTTGTGTCCCACAGTCCTCTGAAGTATCTGCTTACAAAAACTCTGGACTTTTTCCATAAGACTTCTGGATTTGGTCCACAAGTCCTTCGTAGATTTGCCCCACAAGACTTCTACAATTGTCTTGCAAGATTATTGTATTTGTCTCACAAGACTATTGGAGGTGTTTCGGAGTCTTCTGAAGTACCCGTCAACAAGGGCTCCAGATTTACTTCACAAGTACTATTGATTTTCCCCCAAATCTTGTGAACTTGTCTTACAAGACCTCTGAATTTGTTCCACGAGACTGATGTCGTTCTCTTACAAGGCTGTAAAGCCATTGGGCATGTACCACAAAGCTCTGGAATTGTGTCACATGGTATTTGTACTGAACTAAGGGCCTGCAAAGGAACTTCGGTTCATTAGAGTCGTCCTACAGTCCTCTGAGGTTGTTCTACAAGGCTTTTTGAGTTGTTCTATAGAACCATTGGACCTGTTCCACAAGAGCTCTGAACTTGTTTCACATGGTCTATAAACTGAGTTTATTGCATAAGGCCGTAATTTGGATTTGTTTCACAAGTCCTTTGGATTTGTTCCACATATCCTTTGGGATTGTTCCATAAGTCGTTTGGATTTGTTCGACAAGTCAAGACCTTTGGATTTGTTCCACAAGTCGTTTGGATTTGTCCACCAGTCATTTGGATTTGTTCCACAAGTCCTTTGGATTTGTGCCACAAGTCGTTTGGATTTGTTCTACAAGTCATTTGGATTTGTCCCACGAGTCCTTTGGATTTGTTCCACAAGTCCTTTGGATTTGTTCCACAAGTCCTTAGATTTGTTCCACAAGTCGTTTGGATGTGTTCCACAAGTCCTTAGATTTGTTCCACAAGTCGTTTGGATGTGTTCCACAAGGCCTTTGAATTTGTTCCACAAGTCGTTTGAATGTGTTCCACAAGGCCTTTGAATTTGTTCCACAAGTCTTTTCGATTTGTTCCATAAATCGTTTGAATTTGTTCCACAAGTCCCTTGGATTTGTTCTACAAGCCATTTGGATTTGTCCCACGAGTTCTTTGGATTTGTTCCACAAGTCCTTTGGATTTGTTCCACAAGTCAAGACCTTTGGATTTGTTCCACAAGTCGTTTGTATTTGTTCCACAAGTCCTTTGGATTTTTCCCACGAGTTCTTTGGATTTGTTCCACAAGTCCTTTGGATTTGTTCCACAAGTCCTTTGGATTTGTTCCACAAGTCGTTTGTATTTGTTCCACAAGCCTTTGGATTTGTCCCACGAGGTCTTTGGATATGTTCCACAAGTCCTTAGATTTGCTCCACAAGTCGTTTGAATGTGTTCCACAAGGCCTTTGAATTTGTTCCACAAGTCTTTTCGATTTGTTCCATAAATCGTTTGAATTTGTTCCACAAGTCCCTTGGATTTGTTCTACAAGCCATTTGGATTTGTCCCACGAGTTCTTTGGATTTGTTCCACAAGTCCTTTGGATTTGTTC